ATCGAGGAGTGGAACCTCCCCCCTGCCGACGACCCCGACCTCCCCGACGCCGACATTCACGCAGTTTTGCAGGACCTCAGCGAGGATTGACACAGGCTCCTCTGGACGCAGGCCGCTACGCATGCCCATGGAGACACGCTGGATGGAGGCGCAGACATGGTCACTATCCGCATTGAACAAAGGAGGTTCCTCGCAAACGGCGACTTCAGCGACTGGGCCCTCAACAACACCATCATCAGCGGAGGACAGTGGACCAGAGACCGCCTCCACAACGCGGGCTACCAGATCGACAGGAACTGCGACCGCTGCAGCGCTGGAGTTCCTGAAACCTTGTTTCACCGAATGTGGCAGTGCGAGGCGAACGTCGGACCCGAGTTTGAGGCCAGCGACAAGCTACTGCCGCGAGCCTTGGCGGGGGCCGACGCCGACCCCGCCTCGTGGCTCCGTGGCATTCCCTCTGTTGCTCTCACTACGCCCACGTTCGAGCCATTGACTGGGAGGGACGGGTGGGAGTTCGTTGGTGCGGTGCGGGAGGGTTTGCCGTCCTGGGAAGGTGCTCGTAACGCAGAGGGTGAGTTGTTTCGTTTTGGTGACGGGTCTGGCGATGCCTTTTCTGACGACGTCAGGCGACGTCGCGTCGGATCTGGCCTCGCGGCCCTCCGTTGGAACCCTCCCTCGGCCTCCTGGACCCTCCACGCGGGCCTCCTTGCCCCCCCCCCCCCCAGGCCCCCGCCAGACCGTCCCAAGAGGAGAATTATATGCGTTTTGCCTGGCACTAGAGACGTGCCATCAGGATTTCACGTTTGTTACCGATCACCTAGCCTTGCAGCGTGGTTGGCAGAATGGCAGATGTCTCAGGCCAGGCAGCCTCAGAGGTAAGAATAAGAATGGAGATCTCTGGCTGAGAATTCGGCATCTCGTGCAGGATCGACCTTGCGGCGTCTCCTCGGTCACGGTACTCTGGACCCCATCTCATGCCGATCCCCAGACTCTTCACGGTTTTCAGAAATTCCTAGCTCTCGGCAATCAGCAAGCCGATGAGCTTGCGGGAAGCGCGGCCCACAAGTCGGCCACCCTTGCCCTCCCGCCTGTGCCCAGGACTGACGAATACGATGCTATCGCAGCGATTGTCCGACAGCGGACACGACTAATCCTACGTTCCTTAGGAAAGAATTCAGAGCCTCGAGGACTGTGGCCAGAGAGGCAACCCACGCAGGAGGCAGCCCCTCGTTCTGTTGCAGGCCGCGATCGCGGCTTCACAGCACAAATTCGAGCGGTGTGCAGACAAATGGCGATGCTCTGTCTGCCTCATCATCGTCGATGCTTGCCAGGTTATTCCAGCCGCCGCCACGGAGTGTGTACCGCCTTGCCCCCTTCCCGAGTTTGCTGCGTGTGGCGAGGTGCTGTGGTCGAGGGGTCCCCGTGTGATCAGTGGCAAGGCGATACACCCCTCCCACACGTTGGCCACCATCCCCAAGTGGCAAATGTTCTTCTGCGTGAAGTGCGGCCATACGGCCACACACCAGGTCAAAAGCTTACAATTCCCTTGCCCTCTCACCCACCAAGTGGGAGAGCGCAGGGCCCTGGGACCCACTGGCAAAGGCCTCGAAAACCTCAGCAGGATCAGGCGAGGCCTCCATCCGTCCAGATCGGGTCCCAGCAAGTCTGTTCTAGAGGCCATGCATGTTTCGGCAGCCGAAGCCGCGATCGTTTCTCACGCGGCTGGCGCTGCCTCTGAGTAAATTGTGAGGCCAGGGGGGCCTGTCGCGGTGTGCCGTGGGATGTCGCCCCCCACGGCTCTCCGAGAAATTCTGGATGGCCCCCCTGGCGTCTCTGGGTTCCCGAACGGACTACGTCCGATTGCTCCACTCCACTCCTCCTCCTCCTCCTCCTCCTCCTCCTCCCGTTGCTCCTCCCGCTCCTCCCTTTTCCTCCTGGCGCTCCCCATTTCCTCCTCCTCGTCGCTTCTCGCCGCTCCTCCACGCTCCAAGGGCCTCCTCCTCATCCCCCTCCATCCTCTCTCCTTATAAATATCTCACCCCTGTAACACCCCGAGACGTGTTGCTAGGGCGGGCCGGGCGGTTTGTCTGAGGTGTCCTCAGAGGAGGGGGGGGGCCCAAGAGACCCCCAAGGGGTTCCAAGAGGGCCCCGAGTCGCCGAAAAATCGCTCCAAGACGCCCGAGATGGCCTCCAGACGGCCCAAGGTGTCTCCAAGACGCCCCAAGAAGCTTCCAAGAGGCCTCCCAAGAGGGCCCCAAGAGGCCAGAATCGTTGATTTTCATTGGTTTTTTCAGGGTTTTTAGCGTTCTTGCCTTTTCGGGCGTCCGACGCTCGAAGACGGCCCAAGAGGCCCCCAAGTCCGTCCCAAGACGGCCCACGATGCTTCCAACACGGCCCAAGAGAGCCCCAAGACGGCCCAAGAGGGCCCCAAGACGGCCCAAGAGGGCCTCTGGACAGCCCAAGAAGGCCCCAAGAGAGCCCCAAGAGGGGCCCAAGAGGGGGACCACGAACCGAAAGAACCGAGCTTTCCGCCCCAAGAGGCCCCCAGGAGGCCCCAAGAGACCCCCAAGGGGCCCCAAGAAGCCCACAAGAGGCCCAAAAGAGGTTCCAAGAGGCCCCAAAACAGCTCCCCAGAGGCCTCCAGACTGCCTCCGGCAGGCCCCCGGTTTCTTCCGCGGCACCGCCCAGGGCGCCACCGGCAGGATGTCCTCCGTCTCATCGTTTTCCTTCAAGTTATCGCCTCTTCCTCATTCTCCTCCTCCTCCTCTGCGACCTCACTCCTATCCCTCAACGATCGCGTCACCGAGTGCCTCTTCTTTGAAACATCCTCGCTCTTCAAACGCACATCCATACACACATGCATACATACCTACATTTAAACACATTTGCATACATAGAAAAACAATCTTCCAGACATACATACTTACATTCACACACATACACACATATTATCATACACACATACAAACATACATACAAACTAAATACATACATACGCGCACAAGCATACATACATACATACGTACCTACACACAGGCACACATGATCAATGCATGCATACATGCATGCACGCGTACATACACACACATATATCGTGAAACTCACCGCGTGCTCGAAACTTGAGAGAGACCGCGGGAAGTCGAGAGAAGCCGCGGAACGAGGCCTCTACTACTACTACCACTACTACCACAACCACTACTACTACTACTACTACCTACTACTACTACTACTACTACTACTACTACTGCTACTACTACTACTACTACTACTACTACTAATACTACTACTAGTACTACAGGAGCGTTTCCCAACTAGTATGTGTGTGTGGGTGATGCTGTGTGCGCATGTCTGCGGCGCAGGTTAAGTGGTGTGACTGTGTGTGTGCGTTTGAGTGTGCGCCCATAATTTCTGCGTCTGGAGAATAACCCCGAGCGACCCGGATCGGCGGCACTGGCCGAAGGCCACTACAATATCTCACCCCTGTAACACCCCGAGACGTGTTGCTAGGGCGGGCCGGGCGGTTTGTCTGAGGTGTCCTCACCGTGTATGGTCTAACGGCCATGAAGCTTACACTTTGCAACAATTTCACAGGTTGAGGGCGGATCGTTTTCAAAATGTGTCTCTCGCCTTGGCGCCGCGAACAATTCGTCTCAATAGTTCGCAGAAGTTTCACGGATGGAGGGCGCGTCGGTTTCAAAATGTGGATCCCGCCGTAACGCCGCGCGCATTCGCCTTGAAAGTGTGCGAAATGTTCACGGATGGAGGGTGGCTCCATTTAAAAATGTGATTGTCGTCGTAGCGACGCGCACATTCGTCTTGAAAGTTTGCAACAGCTGTTCAAGGACTATTGTGGTTGGCGTGCCAGCATTGTTCTCGCCTTGTCGAGCTTCTGACGTCTCAAGACGATCCAAGAGGCCACCGGGACTGCCCCGACATAGCCCCAGAGGGCCCCCAAGACGGCCCAAGAGGGCTCCAAGACGAGCCAAGAGGCGCCCAAGAATGCCAAAGAGAGCCCCGAGAGGGCCCCAAGACGGCCCCAAGAAGAGCCCCAAAGGGCAAACACGAACCGATGCTTCGAACCTCCAGCCCCAAGAGGGCTCAGGAGGCCCCAAGAGGGCCAAATAGGCCCCCTAGAGGGCCCAAGAGGCAAACACCATTGCTGCGCCTCAGCTGTTTCAGTGTTTTTGGAAGTTTTGGGGGTTCTCGTCGTTGCGAGCGTCCGACGCTCCAAGACAGACCAAGAGGCCATTAAGACTCCTCCGAAACAGCTCAAGAGGCCCCCAAGAGAAATCCAAGACGGCCCAAGAGGACTCCAAGACGGCCCAAGAGTCACCCACGACTGCTCAAAAGGGCCCCAAGACGATCCCAAGAAGGGCCCAAAAGTGGGAACATCAACCCAGACTTCGACCCTTCTGCCCTAAGAGACCCCAGCAAGCCCCCTTGCCTTCTCGAGTTGTTGCCACCCAGAATGCTTTGCTGGCACGGTGAATTGCCGGAGGCAGCTGGGTATGTGATGTTACGGTATGATGCTACGACGTGCATATCACAACGAAAATGTAAGCGGTACTATGACACACATTCCGATGCTAGACTGTGTTGTCATTGTCCCTGGTGTGAATTACATTGCATTTCATGTGATTGCATTGCGGGCGTTCTTTTGAATGAGTGACATCATACCAGGCCAAGTTGAGAAGCTCAAGCGGGTTCTGGGAGGCACGAAGAAGGGAGGGAGCCGGAGGGAAGGGAGAAGGAAGATGGAGGGGTGGCAGGAGGGAGGAGGGAGGAGGACCATGGACGACTAG